ATAATAAGTCCTTTTAATAATATATTGATTTTTTTTTTTTTTTTTTTTTTTTTTTTTTTTTTTTAATACATTAAATTATATTAAAGTATAAAAAATATGTTTTATTAACTTTAACAGTAATCAGTGATACTTATAATATTTTTTTTAAAATTTCCGCTCTTTATAGTCCGCCCCTCAATTCCCTCAATTTTTAGCTAGGACTGCAGGCCGACATACAGGTGGGTCTGTTCCATTTTTAACAGAAAGGTCAGCATTTTTTATGTACCTATTCTCTGATTTAACTGATAAGTGATTACTCAACAATATTGTGAAAAAAAAACTCTATATAAAAATGCAAAAATGTAATCGAGTTATTTTATTAAAAAAAAACGGTATTATTGTGTTATAAAATAAACAAAATAAAAATCACATACCAAAAAAATATATAAACGAACTATTTCTTACTTTCAAGCTTTTAAGAAACTCCCCGCATTTATTATTATATTTATATAACATAACTTATGTACAAATACAAATTTGTAATATTCCACAGGAATAAATAAATCAAACTATTTTATTGATATAATAACACTTACAAAATGTTATACCTTAAAGAGGTTGATTAATTACCTTTTAAATTCCCCCCTAACTTTTTTAACAGTACCTTTTGCAATTATTTTATGTTAGTGGTATATGTTTAGTACGATCCTTGTAGCAATATACGAGATGCACTTACTTATCTACGACGAGACGCGAGATGGTATACAAACTTCATTGATTGAAAGACTTTCTGCTGGGCAGCGAGTATTACTATAAATGTACTATGGGTCTAGCCAGTAGTAATTTTCCCTCGATTTTTTCCTCCACTTGCCTGCAAAAGAACAAAACACACGTATAACACGAATCAAAATGAATCATCTACCAAAATGCGATAATTTTGAACATATTAAGCTGACAAAATTTAAACCGATAATTTGGCAAGACTTTGACAAGCGTGAAAAATCTAAAGGCGAGTTAATACGCATCGCATCTTTGGCGTCATCGTTCCGTCAAACCAATAAAATGAAAATATGATTTGTCATTTTGAAATAACAATAAAACTGGTTAAAACAACAAGAGACGAACGGCGACGTAATGACGAGTATATTTAAACCATTCATATTACTTAAAAAATATCTAGAAAGTTTTTGCAAAATAATTAGATGGTAGGGACCAAATCTCTTTTTCCTTTGTCATCGTCTGTCGAAATGAGAAAGAAAAGAAGAGAGAAGAAAAGAACTGAGAAAAATAAAGAGTATAATATACAAATATAAAATAAAAAAAAAAAAAAAAAAAAAAAAAAAATTGCAAATAAAAAACAATAATTTTTAGTTTTCCCTGTAATGTAATTTAATACATTTCAATTGCTGGCCGTCTTCAATTTTTAATTCCCCTAGCCTTGAGCATAATAACGTTGCTAGCACCTTGAAAGAATTGAACCCATTTATATTTAAACTTGACATTTAATTCCAAACATCAATATTTCATTATTCTGCTATATATAATCCTGCAGAAAGATACATCATATAATTCGCAATACGAGAATTGATATAAAGCGTATATCAAATATACAGGGTCTGCAAAATGTGATGTGCGCATCATAGTTCTATAATAAAAAGCTATTCGAGAGATAGCTGAGAGATATTGTGCTATTGTGCAGTTTTTGTGTCTCAAAATCCAGTCTCATAACTGGGATCGAGAAAAATAGGGCAGATAAATTTGTGCAATTTAATGGTGATGAAAATGGAACAAGCTTCCACGTCAATGTTGCCGTTTGTTGTCCCTTAATTTCATGATTTTCAATTGGCATCTACTACAGACGTTTATTTTTACGGTTTATTTTAAAGTTTGATTGTTATTTGGTTTATTTTGTTAGAACGTTCTTAATAGTAATCAGAATACCAGATAAAGTAAGAATATAAGTGAAGTGAATACCAAGTTTTGTGCGTTTTAGTGTAGGTTGTTTATTCTGCTATAATATAATATTTACTAGAGATTTAAGATTTAAAAAAAAATTCAAATATTTTTATTTATGAAAATATATCGCCCTATTGCTGCCAAAAGTCGTTAACTAACATTTTTCCGAACAACCCAATTCAATCACTATGTTTTGAAGCGGAGAATCGATTAGAAAAGTCATTAACTACGATTTCTGGCTATTTATGTTTTATTTTAATATCGAATAGTTACTAACTATAACATCTTAATGCAATCCATCTTTAGACGCCTTTTTCTCGGAAGTAATAAAAAGTAAGTTAGTGACTTTTGGCAGCAATGGGACGATATGATACTTTTTTTAACAACTAGATATTTTTTTAAGCTCCAGAAGAGAGCTGTTCGATATTCACTGGGACTAAACAGCAGAACTCATTGCCAGAACTTTTTTAAAAAATTAAAAATATTAATTCTTCCTTCCTTATTTATATTTGAATCCGTTTGCCTAATATGTAAGCATGTATCAGCTTCTCAAGAAAGGCCATCCCACACTTATCCATTCGGGAACGCGGAGCAAGATCTTTATCTACCTACCCCACGCTCAGAGTTAGTTAAAAGTTCAATATTATATAACTCAAAAAAAATGCACAATCACCTGCCATTTGAAATCAAATCCATAACATCATCTTCTTCATTTCGCAAAGCATTGAAATCTTATTTACTAGACAAGGCATTCTACGCCGTAAATGACTTATATTTTGATAATCGAATTTGATCTTCTAAACACTGGTCTAATGTTTGCTATTACTATATTTACCAATGACATTGTGGTAAATTTATCCAGAGGTCATTGATATTTAGTATAAACTTACTAAATATTTTTGAATCTTATTTTGATTTTTTTGTTCTTTGAGATTGTAAACATTTATAAATGTTTATTTTAAACAATAAGACTGACAATGTTATTTGTATAATGTTTTGTATTCTCTTTTGTTTGTTTGTTTGTTTCCTTTGTTTGTTTACTTCACCTTTGTCTACAAATTGTAAAATTTTTTGACAATAAAGGCATTTATTTATTTATAGATCTTAATTTTCTGCATTTTATTCAGAGTGAACGTTAGTCAAACCAACTAGAAAGATTTTTTTCTACTAGTTTTGAATTCAAATATTATATTGTGTTTATTTTGAGAAAACAATGAATTCAATAATTGTTCAGTCAAGGAAAAGTTTATGTAATATTATTTTAACACTAATATCACGATCCCGTTTAAAATGTTCATGTAAATCATCTTTAAACCTACTGACAAAATCACACATTAAACATGTTTTTCTAATATTTTGTACAGGTATTATATAAACCATCACCTAAAACAGTTCTATTATTATCCCTCAATCAAGGATATTAAGATCAAATTTTCCATTCTTAAAGAGGACAAAGAAAGACACAGTCAAAGTCTATTCACCATCATTACTAATACCTGGATAACAATGCTTGCACTTGATTCTACCTCACTTCTTTGATAATTTGGTCAATTACCTTGTGCCACTTGTGCATGTCATTTTAAATGCCATGCTAAACTCTTCTTTGCACTAAAATGTATATTACAAAATTCGCAGGTAACTGCATATACTTATTTCCTCTATCTGATTCGGATGACATTTTTTAAAGTGTTTCCGAAGCACACTAGAACACACAAAACTGCGATTACATTCGCAGCAAACACTGATATTAGAAATACTGGAATTTATTTCCCTTATTTAGTAACCAAATAAATTATAGGGAATGCCATCGATGTTCATTTCCAAGATCATACGGTATATGTGTTGTTTATGTAAACCGTTCATAAAATAAGGTGACAGCAAACGGCAACATTGTTGAGTATGCGAGTTGACTAGTGGGACGTAGAAGCTAGTAAAAATGGATAGAATAGAAGAAAAAAATCACCGGTTGGCTTGAACAAGAATTTACGGTTAAAATAACAATAGCTATGTATGTAATAATACCAGAAATATGCGATTTTAGTTTACTAAAATTATAACACAAATTAATTTACCTATACACTATATTTTTTTGCTACTGGTACACTAGAATATAGGTAATAATATTTATGGACAAATATTTACATGCTATAACCGTCAAACTGGAAGACAAAGTAAATAAATACATACATTATCCGAAAATGTAGCCGTGGAAGCCTTTGCACTACATTAATTAACTAATTAATTAAGTGACTGACATTGAAACGGGTCGAGTTTCGAAAATCTCCGCTGCTGATATAACTTTTCAACCCGAGGCTTCGCACAGTAGCGTCTCTCAACATTAGCTATTTTATAGGTTATTACCTACTATAACTATTGCCCCTATAAAGAGTGAAATGGTTTCTTGTTATAAATTTTTAAAGAAATCCTGGATATTTAGCCACTGAAAGTGAGAGCTTTTTTTGTAAACACCACTATATATAGGGTTCAGAACCGGGAATTCCCGATTCTGAACCCTAACCGATTCTTTTCAGACATCAAAGAACCGGGACTCTAAATTATTAATTCCCCGTTCTTTTGGTGTTTTCGGGACTCTGTAATAATAATTAAAAACATATTTTTTGTTACGTGCGAAAGACTATTGATACTTTCTAACGGTCGAAATCAAATTCTTCTAAATAAGTAGCGATGCTCTCTCTTGCTGTTCTTGCTTCTGAAGTTATTTTGAAGTTCCTATAATTTTTATTAGCAATTAATGAAGTTTAAATACGAGGGCGGTCTGAAAAGTTTCCGACCTAACAAAGATACAAGACATTTTTTCAGAATATTTTTTTTATTTTTCAACATAGTCCCCTTGTAACTCTACACACTTTTCCCAGCGATGCTCCCATCTCTGTAACCCGTCCAAATAGTACTCGGAGTTTTTCTCTGCAAAATAGTGGTTCACGAAGGTTATTGTCTCTTCATTTGACGAAAATCTCTGTCCTCCGAGCGCAATTTTTAAATGAGAGAACAAAAAGAAGTCGCTAGGGGCTAGATCTGGTGAGTAAGGCGGATGGTCAAGCAGTTCAAACCGTAATTCGTGGATTTTCGCCATGGCAGCTGCTGAGGTGTGAGATGCCGAAATAACAGTCGAACACAACAGCCGAAATAACAGTTTTTGCTTTTTTTGGAGCCGGTTCTCCCTCTGCCGTCCACTGTTTGGACTGTATTTTTGTTTCTGGTGTATAGTGGTGTATCCAAGTTTCATCTGCAGTAATTAATAGACGCCAAACCTCGGATTTATTGACCCTAAACTGCGCCAACATAGAGTTGGAAATGTTCATACGAACACGCTTTTGGTCTAACGTGAGCAAACGCGGCACCCAACGCGCGGACAGCTTTCTCATGCCTAAATCTTGATTTAATGTGTGACAAACATAATCTTTTGAGATGTTCATAACCTCTGCTATCTTTCTCACTTTAATTCGGCGGTCGTCTAACATCATTTGGTGAACTTTGGCGATGTTATCGTCGGTTGTTGCAGTTTTTGGACGTCCCGAACGTTCATCGTCTCCCAAGCTCTTACGGCCACGTTTAAATTCAGCTGCCCAAAATTTCACTGTGGTAAATGATGGTGCAGAGTCCTCATACACAGAATCAAACTCATGTTTAATTTGTGTAGGCGTATTGCCTTTCAAAACCAGATATTTAATGACAGCTCGATACTCGATTTTGTCCATTTTCACAAAAACACTGACGTCAACTCACTCAAACGACTGTTACATAACAACTGCGAATCCAAAATGGCTGAAACTTTGGTGAATAACTGTCAACAGATGAACAATGAAAATTCACTAGCTTTTATCTACGAGTGCTGCCATCTTCACGTTGAGGTCGGAAAGTTCTCAGACCATCCTCGTATGTTATTTTATTATTCAGTATAATATTGCTGAATGTATTAGTAACTAATTTTTTGTGTTATGTTTTTATAGGAATTTAATTGAAAATGTTAAGTTTTTTTTTCTAATTTAGTTAAGTTTTTTACGAGGTTGGTCTTTTTTTTGCTGGCGTTCATTATTTGTGTTCATGGTTCATGTTTGCTTTCTCAAGACTTATTAATTTGATATTATTTTCATTTGAAATTCAATTTTTTTTATCGGTTTTACTTTTGAATCCCTTGCTTGCTAATTGACGAACTCCACAATCGTTGAACGAAAATATTTTGGTATATGGTTCTGGAAACTCTAATTAATACTACCAATTAGGGTAATTTTTTAGTATTATTAATTTATGTTTTGTGGTGTTCTAGAAAAAAATCGAAAAAGTAATAGCCATACATCACTAATCTTCACAGATGGAGAACTGGCCTAGTGTTCGGAAAATTCGAATTAAATAATACGACTAATTCGATAGTAAATTAAAACTAACAAATTCGAATTACCTTTTTCGATATAATCGAGATAAAATAGTAGTATTTTATATTATATCTGTGGTAACCGAATTACAAATGAACATAAAACATAACCTCTTATGGACGAATACGAATATTAGTAATTAGTATAGTACTATTAGTAGTATCTGAACGAACTGAAAATTCTGAACGAACTGAAAATTTTCACTTAAACTGATTTATAAAGGGAATCGACAAAGAAAGGAACGATCCGATATAGGAAAATCCAGAAATCATTGTTATTTCCTATACCACGTAGGAATAAATCAGTTTAAGTGAAAATTTTCATTTCGTTCAGAACGAAAGAATACTACTATTATTTGGTTCATTTCCATCTCACCCAAATTTCACCAAACACCTGCCGAACACTAAAATTAATTTTCTTCTTTTATCTAAATAATTATTGATTTCAACTGATAAAATAAAAAGAAATACGAACCGCACGTAAACAAGGACATACTTATATTGTTTTAGAAGAAGCTTTTATTTTAGATATGAGCTTTTCAATAGGAATTGAAACAATCATAAACTAGGCACTTTTAAATTTAAAACTTTAAATTATGGTTTAATTTATTAAACGGCTTCGGCACAGTTAATAGAATACATTGAATAAAGAATATTTTTTTTTATTTTTTATTCAGTGATAGAATATAGGTATGGCAATGTTTCAGATTTGTATAAAATAGCCCCTAGACGAGCACTAGTTGGGACGAATTTATTTTTAGGTTAAATTTATAATACTACTAAATAATTCGAATTATTAATTCGATTGTGAAATATGAATTATTACTAATTATTCGATGGTGAAAAAAATTCGATTATTCCCATCACTAAACTGGCCTCTGTGGAGCCGTCTCAGATACTGGCTTCTGTCAAAGCCCTGAGACTGTATAGATCGCGGTGGTTCCCCCCTCCCCAAATTTTTATCCTATTCTTCTTCTCTTTTCAGAGACATATTTATTGTGTGTATTCTGTTTAAGATTTGGTGTTGTTGACAATATAGTTGGTCGGGTTTTGTAAACACTGTCCTTAACATATTCCCATAAAAATCCCAGACTAGATAAAATCAAGAGCATTTAAGTATTCATTAGTGAATGCACACTACATTCACCAACTAATAGAATCGTATCAATTCTCTCTGATGTAGGATAAGTTTGCATTTTCGACAAATTTCTGAGAAATTTTTTTTGTTTTAACTGACACAAAATGATAATTAATTGTTACAGTTGGACTAATTAGATTGCTATGCTGAAGTAACGTCGGACATATCACAGCCAACTAGATTTTATGAAATAATAAAGATTTACTCAGATCAAATCATGTAAATGAAAATATCTAGGAAAACCTTTGTTTGAGGGGTAGGAAACCTTAATAGTATTTTGAAGAGATATGAATTCTCCATTGAATATCGGAATAATATACAGGGTGTTCCATTTAAAATAAAAGAGTAACGTGCTTTTAAAGATGACCAATGTTGAATATTAATTTTCTCACCCTGTATAACTTTTTGGATCAAGTTTTAATTTGATTTAAAGTACAATAGTTAATTTTAATAAATATTAAGCTATACCGGGTAAACTTCAATTTAGGTAATTTTTATTGTAATTTAAAAATTGTTCTTTATTTCTAGAAAATGCTAAATATGTCAAAAACTTTACATTTTAGTCATATACTTCTCTTATAAAACTCACCTTTATTTTTTTCGCAGAATCCGAAAATCAATTAATATATAGGGTGTTCCATTAGAAAAAACAAAACTTTGATATGTAACTTTTTTTGGACACACCCTGTAGAATTCTCTATATTTTTAAAAAGTGCTCTGAATTAATCTACATACGCTCACAAAATTTCATTTCAATACAAACTGTCGTTCTCCTTAGAGAAGCGCCACCCCTGTATTATTCAAATCTTAAGAAAATTGAAAATTAATAATAATCATTTAGGTAGCTTAATGTGCCTAGTACGGTTTAAGTCAAACTTTATTGTATAGTTTAGAAATTTTATACGTCAAAATATGCCCTTGAATACCTGAATAAAAATATGAATATTTTTCCTACAGGGAACTATGTGAAAATGAAATCAATTTATATAAATAATTATGGTATAATACTTTTGTCGTTTTCCTTTCAATCACTACCATCTTACTACAGATTTGTAGAAAGAGATGAAAATTATACATATTATATTTTATAGAATTCCATACAAATTACATTTTAACACAGTAATGGGTCATTAATTTTACAATAAAAATTAATTTTGTTTTTAATAAATTTGCAGATTCATTATAAGGATTTTAAATTTCCATAATATAGGATTAAAGAAATAATTTTTAACAGCTTTTAATAAAGAATATTAGATCATTGGTCTTAGGATAATAACACACCTAAATAGCTGCAAAGAGTTATACATTATATTTATGTGATTTGCGTTTATATTTTATTGCGACTAGACACTTTTTTTTGAGGTATTATTTATTTAAGTTGTTCTTTTTAATTATTTTTGTTTTTTGCTTCTGAGGAAAAATGATTATGCTTGCAAAGCATTTTTGGGGAGTTAAACAAATATTTTTACAAGAAAAAAACCACTGTCAAGTTTTTTCTGTTTGGATCTTACGCAATAGTAGATATTTTACAAAAAAAATAGATTTCTCTTACAGTGGCGGTATCTACATACAGTGGTGGCCAAAAGTATGGAAACTTTTTTAATTTGTCATTTATGCTGAGAAATTAAAATATGAAATAAAACGACTTATATAATCGTGACCTACAAATAATTTCCTACAAAACCTAATACATTTAAATAAAAAAATACAGCTATCAAAAAAATTAAAAATTATGAATATTTTCTTGGTCAAAAGTGTGGAAACTTAAGAAGAATGTTTATTAAAATTCAAGATAATATAAAAATTACTAATATTTAGTGGAATATCCCTTTGAATTAATTATTTCTCTACATCTTCGTGGCATCGAATCGATCAATCTCGTACAATCTTTACTGCAAATGGCCGCCCATTCAGTTTTTAGCACTTCCCATAATTCATTTTTATTTGAAATAGAATGGCTTCGAATTTTGCTATCCAAATGGTCCCATAAATTTTCTATGGGGTTAAGATCCAGAGACTGTGAGGGCCAATCCATTAGTGGAACATTATGTTCATTTAACCAATTTTGAACAAACCGAGATTTGTGCTTGGGATCATTGTCTGGCTAGAACAACCATCTGAGTGGCATTTCTTCATCAGCATGAGGCAGCATATTATTCTCCAATATGTCTTTGTACAAAAAACGGTCCAATATCCCATCAATTTTAACAAGAGGACCAACACCTGAACGAGAAAAACACCCCCATACCATTATACTCCCACCCCCATGTTTTACTGTGGGCATCTGGTACTTATGGCTGTACCGTGTACCTTTTGGTCTTCGGACATAACGTCTCCCGTCACTACCAAACAGTTGAAACTTGCTTTCGTCGCTAAACAGTACAGTATTCCATTTCTGATAAGACCAGGTGAGATGATCTTGAGCAAATTTAAAGCGGGCCATCCTATTTTTCTTTGATATTAGTGGTTTCTTCACCGCAACTCTTCCAAAAAGTCCCATGTCATCCAACCTTCTTCTCACCGTGCGTGCAGACACCGATATTCGCCTTTCACCCATTTCTCGAGAAATGTCTGTGGATGTTTTTCTTGGATCTCCCATTGATATTCTCTTCATTACTTTCATTGTCCTGTTGCACAACTTTCTTGGTCTTCCTGACTTAAAAGCTGCTGAAACGTTCCCTGTTTTATTAAATTTACGAATTATTTTCGAAACGGTGCCTTTTAAAATGTTTAAATTTTTACTTATTTGAAGTTGTTTATAACCGCTCTTGTATAATTCAACTATTTTATTTTTTAAATTCGTAGAGAAATATTTAGACTTGGGCATGATGTTTATATTTATCTGAAGCAAATCGTACCGTTTATCAGCTTAATCTAAATAATTTTAATGTATTTATTTATGGTTTCCATACTTTTGGCCACAAGAAATCTATTGTTCTCCTACAAAAACTGCTAAACAGATTTTTTTCGCTGTGTAATTTTTGGAATACTTTTATTTGCTGATAAGCTGTTCATTTATCTTCCTGAGAATTATAGCATAGCAATATTTTCTGTGATATTTTAAAAAGTAAAAAGTTTCCATACTTTTGGCCACCACTGTATATAAAATGCTAATGTTTATCTGTGTCGTCTCTACTGAAGTAACCACTTGTTCTAGAAGGTGGTTTTTTTTACTAAAAGATAGCTAA